GGGGATGAGATGTATTCATGTCTTTTCCTAGGGCATGCAACAGACTAGGTAGGAATTTGGATCATCTTAAGGGTTCCCCTTTCTATAATGATTGCTCTTACACTTCAGTATACACCCATATATATATATATATATATATATATATATATAGTCATCCACAGACAGAATGTTTTGCTGTATCACAGCTTCTCAGTATGGGTAGATGTCTGATTGCTTCAAGCTAGGATCAAAACCTGACTAATATGAGATATCTTACCTCTAGGCCATTGTTGCATGGCAGAAAGAAGGGAATTTTAATGTTTTTCTCTATACAAAATATGCTAGTGGCTTGGAGAATTCAATTCAATTTACTTGAAGAGTAATACTTCATAGCAATAGGAGTTTCCTTAGAGAACCAGATTTTCGGGAGCATATATATGTGTGTGTGTGTGTATATATATATATATATATATATATATATATATATATATATATACACACAGTCACCCACAGAGAGACTGTTTCACTGTATCACAGCTCCTCAGTGTGGCTAGCTGTTCAATTGCTTCAGGCCAGGCTCAAAACTCAACTGATATGACATCAGTCAGATATCTTACCTCTAGGACATTGTCAAACGGCAGAAAGGAAGGGAATTTCAAAGTTTTTCTTTATACAAAATACGCCAGAGGATTTCTTATGATTTTAAACATTATATTTTAGAAGATACACATGTTTGAGTAGATGTGCCTTCTTTTTTTAATAGTGTGAATTATGTCTACCATCCAGTAATTCAGGAATCTTAAAGAAAATGTGGCATCCAGCAGGGTTTGAACCTCTGTCCACCTTTGTAGGTGAAACCACCATCAAGATTCCTGAATGCACAGGCTTGTAGATGTAATTCACATTGCTTAAAAAACAGGGCATCTACTCAAACATATATTCACTATAATATGATCATGATCACAATCACAAGCCCTGAGGCCCATTAGGTTCAAGGGTCACCACATGTATTTCAGTTGTAGCTTCAGTGGTGTGTCTTGGGCAAGATAGCCTAAAAGAGTCCAATAGTCTCCAGGCTGGTTTGAATTCAGAGTTTTCATTTTCTTAGACTGAAAGTACTTATGATTGTCCAGTGGTAAAATATCGTCTCCTGAAGTCTTTGATTGTAAGTTCATCTGAAGTTTCTGAGACATAATTAGGAAGGAGGGCCTGGAGAATGTGATACTCATGTGTCGAATACAGGGAAAGAGAGACAAGGGAAAACAATGCATGACATACCTGACAAGCTTGAGCAGGTGGATGACAGAATATGGTCTGGTGAGGAAGCAGAGGGAAAGAACTTGCTGAGAGCTGCAAGAGATAGGAGGTGGTGGAGAGCCATGATCGCCTATGTCTTGAAAGGACATGGTACATAAAAAGAAAGAAAAGAAGACTGAAAGAAGATAAAAGAACAAAAAATAGAAAAACTTGAAAGATGAAGAAAACTTGAAAATAAAGGAAGGAATGAATGCAGACCTCAAGGAAGACAAGAAAAGAAATAATTGTTAGAAGCAAGTACACTGAAGGAAGGAAGGAAGATAAAAGAAGGAAGAAATGAAGAAAAAAAATGAAAGAAAATCTCAAGGAAAATATCGGACAATATTATTACAAGAAAGTATACTGTAAAAAGATAAAAGATGAAGATACAAAAAAAGAACGAAAAGAAGAAGATTAAAAAAAAAAGAAAAATTCAAGAGAAGAATGAAGGAAAACTTCAAGGAAGAGAAAGAAGGAAATCATTGTAAGGAGTAAATATTTTGAAAGAAGATAAGGTATAAATGAAAACTAAAATAGGTAAAAAATCAGGGAATGAAAGAAAACCTGAAAGAAGCCAAGGTAAGAAAACAAAATAAGAAGCACGTATTCTGAAGGCATATAAAAGAAGGAAGGAGTTAAAAAAAAGAGATTGAAAGAAAATAGAAAATGAAAAAAATTGGAGGAGAAATTCACAGAAGACAATGAAGGAAACAATTGTAAATATTCTAAAAGACAGTAAAAGAAGAAAGATGAGAAATATTAAGTGGAAGAAGATAAGAAAAATAAAATGAAAAAAGGAAAGAATGAAAGAAAAATTTAAGAAAGTCAAGGAAAAAAAACATTGGAAGAAGTAAATAATCCAAAAGACCATAAAAGAAGGAAGATAAGAAAACAAGAAAGAAACAAAGTAGAAAGTGAAGGAAAGATTCAAGGAAAATATTGAAGGATAAAATTTTCAGATGCAGATATTCTGAGGAATGGTAAAAGAAGAAAAACAAGAAAAATGAGGAAGAAGAAAAAAATAAAAAGGAAAGAATGAAGAAAAGATTCAAGGAATACATGGAAGGAAAATTGGAAGAAGTAAGTATTCTGAATAAAAGGAAAAAATAAAAAGAGAGAAAGCAGGAGAAATGAAGAAATAAAGGAAGGAAAATTTTAAAGCAGCCATAAAGGAAAAAATTTGAAGAATTCTAAAGGAAGACAAAGAAGATATTAAAAACACCAAAGCAAAACACTAGAAATGAAGATAAAGGAAAGTTTGATGAAAAAGTTAAAACAGGCAAAAAAGGAAAAATTAGAAAAATGTGATAAAAAAGAATTAGAAAAATTTTACAGATTAATAGAAGGAAGATAAAAAATTGAAAAAGATGAAATAAAAGTACCAAGAAAAAGATGAGAAAAATTACCAAGAAAAAGGTAGTTTTTTTTTATGATGAAATGTTAAAAAGAAAATTTTAAATGACTGAAGAAAACTGTAAAGAAGTTTGATATAGAAAGAACGAAAGAAAAAATGAAGAATCAGATAGAGAGAGAGAGAGAGAAAACAAATGAAGAATCAGATAGAGAGAGAGAGAAAACAAATGAAGAATCAGATAGAGAGAGAGAGAAAAACAAATGAAGAATCAGATAGAGAGAGAGAAAACAAATGAAGAATCAGATAGAGAGAGAGAGAAAACAAATGAAGAATCAGATAGAGAGAGAGAGAGAGAAAACAAATGAAGAATCAGATAGAGAGAGAGAGAAAACAAATGAAGAATCAGATAGAGAGAGAGAGAAAACAAATGAAGAATCAGATAGAGAGAGAGAGAGAAAACAAATGAAGAATCAGATAGAGAGAGAAAAACAAATGAAGAATCAGATAGAGAGAGAAAAACAAATGAAGAATCAGATAGAGAGAGAAAACAAATGAAGAATCAGATAGAGAGAGAGAGAAAAAAAATGAAGAATCAGATAGAGAGAGAAAACAAATGAAGAATCAGATAGGGAGAGAGAGAAAACAAATGAAGAATCAGATAGAGAGAGAGAGAAAACAAATGAAGAATCAGATAGGGAGAGAAGAGAGAAAACAAATAGGAAAGGAAATAAGAAATAAAGAACTATAAAAGTAAGGAGAAAAGTGTTACTTTAAAAAAACATGGAAAGAAAGTTAATTAATGACTGCAGAAGAAAGATATATTAGTCAAGACTAGTAATAAAGTAACCCAAACAAGAAATAAATGAGCAACATTCATTCAGAATGAGAATAAAGAATATGCAGGTCAGCACAAATGACATAAATCTAAAAATAACAGCCAGTAAAAAAAAAAATCTTAAAACATTACCTCATGCAGAGATAGCCCCCTGGTAAAGTGCATACAACTAAACACCATATCCCCTTCACACAAGTTCAACCCTTGCAGATCCATTTTGGCTGATTATTTCTTTCTGATATGCATTATTTGTACACTATTTTTTTAATCAAATACACCTGAAGCAAGGCAGTAAAGCTACTAAGTAACTCAGGTTACTGAGTGTGAAAGAATAAGAAAAAAGAGAAACACTATTAAGAAGCATGAACAATAAAAGAAAAATCAAGAAGGCAGTAGATAGAGATTGACATTGCATTTACATTTTTGGAGATCAAAATTGGCTGGAAAGCATGGAGCAAAAAATGTGAGAAAAGAAACTGTTAGCATAGAACTTATGGTTACATCTAGCCAAATCAACTGTATATCAATGAGACCTTGTTGCTAATCTCGTACTGTGCTTAAGTTCATAAAGTCTAGGTACCATAGTGGAGAGCTCATTCAAACAATTACCATTACAAGTATTTATAGAAAAGACACAGGAAACCAACTCTATGGTGGAGGGAAAGTGACTGAAGCTGAGACTGCCAGGTCAGGACCAATAATATTGCTGATTCTTCTTTTGATTTTATAGCAAAAGCATCAGATGATATGTGACAGCAATATTCAAAGCCTGGATCAATGATAGACTTATAGATATGCAAGATAAATGCTGTAGAGAAAAATTGTCTTGTAGAACTCAGTGAACCAACTTTCTTAGCAGCAGACCTAGCAATTTATTCAATATAGCCTTTCCACTGAGAATGTTAGCACAAGAAAGTGCAAGGCATCACTCTCCTGGAGGTTCAGGCAGAAAGGGGTCTCACAGATGATTAATGGAGTGAGAGACTTGATATGTTTAGAAGGTATTTAATATTACCGGGATGTATATATATCCGTGGGTCATCCACATGAGAGAGAACATCTTTGTACCTCCATTTTATTGTCTTGGGAAATAACACTGCAAAATCAACCGAGACATTATTCTTTACAGTTTTTACTACATTTTCTCCATCTTTGTTACATTTAGATATAGTTTCAGCAAATAGATTTATTGGCCTTCTTCAGGTACAGCTAATATTTAGAATTCTCTTGATATGGTTTTATTTACTTTTCTTTGACATTTGCAATTTGTTCAAACAGAATTCAGTTCCATACAAACATTGAAATAATGTTAAAATTGTCAGTTAATGTGGTGTTTTTTTAAAAGAAAAAATTTTTAAATATTCAATGAACTTGGTGTGGAATTTGTGCTGATCTGCATATTCTTTATTCTCATTCTGAATGAATGTTGCCCATTCATTTCTTGTTTGGATAACTTTATTACTAGTCTTGACTAATATATCTTTCTTCTGCAGTCATTAATTAACTTTCTAATTTCTTTCCATGTTTTTTTAAAGTATGACTTTTCTCCTTACTTTTAAAGTTCTTTATTTCTTCTTATTTCCCTTCCTGACTTACACTGATTTATTCTCTCTCTCTCTCTCTTCTGATTCTTCATTTTTTCCTTCATTCTTTCTGTATCAAACTTCTTCTTTACACTCTTCTTCAATCATTTAAAATTTCTTCTTTTTTTTTTGACATTTCATCTTAAAAAAAACAACCTTTTTCTTGGTAATTTTTCTCATCTTTTTGTTGGTAGTTTTCTGGAATATTCAGTGAACTTGGTCTGGAATATAGTGGTACATAAGAATTAAAACTGCATGGTGATCATTCGTCAATCTGATCTTCAGACAAGCACTTGTTGCAGAACTATGATCTCTGTGAAAACTCCACAACAAATAGATTTAAAAGAATACAGAGAATGCAAATAACATTCAGTAACGGTGATTTTATATAAAGAGCAATTTGCATCAATCTTGGTATTTGATGAGTAAGTAAAGGTCCTCATGTTCAAATTGTCTGTACAAGTGTTATTAAGAAATATCAGATTAATTTATGTGTGTTCTGTTTCTTGTATTGAATATTTATGTAAAAGAAAAGTAGTGTATAAAGAGAAAAGAATTTTTCTATCAGTTGACAAAAATCAAGTCCTATATGTTGGGTATTTGAAAATGTACCAAAGAAATGACCGAGGTGTCTTCCAGTAGTAGTAGCTGAAAAAAGGACCCTGAACCTTATTCTGCTTTCCTTTATATACACATTGTTGAAAGAAGTGCTGGATCTTATAGGATATCCAGTCTTTAAGGTGGGCAGTTCTCTGATTGGCTGAAATATGTAACTTATTTTTTAAGTTGAAAGAAATGGAAGTTCTGTGCCGAGTCAACCTGTGCCAAGTCAACATGTATTCATCATTTACATTTTTTACTTTGGAGCATTAATTTCTTATTTGATGAGGTTTGTGTCTCTACACACTCTTCCTTTATAAATATAGTAAATTTAAAATATTTTTTCTGTTTATACATTATTTTTATAGATTCAAATATTTAAATAGATGATCTGTTTATAATAAACAGTATTAACAACAGGTACTGGTCTGAATGTCTAAGAAATTTCATATAAAATATTTGTCTTCTGACATATTTTCTATGAAATTTCGTGAACATTCCAGCTGGTAATTGTTATTAATACTGTTTTTTATGAACAGAGAATTTACTTAAATATTTGTATCTATGAAAATAACATATAAACAGAAAATATGTTAAAATAACTGTTGGACTTACTCCATTTCATAATACATACATATACATACACGCATAAAAATAATATCTTTTTTATTTACATACCCATTTAGAGCCTGTTTCATGCATAGCAATTTAAAAACAAAAATGAAAAAAAAAACAGTAGATATTGGGAGTGTCCAAGATAAACACCATTTTGAACAAATATCTCTTTCAAAAATATTTAAAATTAGGCACTCATATATATATGTATAGTTTAAAATTTGATACTAATGTCTAACTTGATAATTATGGGAAAGTTGTTTTCTCAAATGCTCACTCAAACTTTCTTCTCAACCAATGATCATGGCACATCAATAACAAGGCAGTTTGTGAAGATGTCTGATGAACAAGCAGAGTACAGGGATAAATTGATTTATGCCTTACAAATTATATATATATATATATATAGATAGATAGATAGATAGATAAATTTCTATGTATTTGTGTGGACAGAAACTGAAAGTATAGAATTTGGGGAAAATACACAAAGAATCCAAAGAAAAATGATTTAGAAGAATTTGGATCTGAAGAAATGCCTTGACCTTCAAAATGCACAAAGTGAATTGTTCTGATCTGCAGCAGGCATATGTGCAAAAGGTCATCATGCATAAGTCTGTGACTAGTTGAGAAGAGCTTCCTGTGTATATGTTGCCTGAGCAAGGTGTAATATCAAAGATGGTGGATTTGGTAAAAATAAGAACCAAATTTCAGGTGTATTCTCACATTCTTTACATTATTTCTCCAAGTTTTTTTTAACCATATCTTCCCATCATCAGTTTAAAATGACACCTTTTATTTTCCATATATTGTGAATATTTTGCTTAAAGTTTGAATTGACTTGATTTCAAATGAAAACTTTCAAATTTTCAAACATATTTCAATGAAATTTTCATTTTCCAAAATTATTGGTTATAATTATAGTTTTAGAAACATTGGATTGGATTACTTTAGCCAGCACATTTATCTACTGGGCCATGTGTCCTTGGGGACTCAGATAAATGCATTGGTTGAAGTAATTCAGTCACTAGACACAAAGAGTTGTGAGTTCAATACCTGGTCACTGCAAAGATGAACAAAAACTTTGAGAGTTGAGTTACTAAAGGGAAATAACTGAAAACTGAGATATCCAGAAAAGGCATGGCATGTGGAACTAAAGCACTCTACTCCAGTGGATGAAATAAAGTGTTCGGTTCAAAATTCCAATGTATATCACCAGAAGAAGGCTGGAGTGTATAATGGTCACAACATTGTAAATATAGCAATAAAGATGAGGACAAAAGGTCAAACAATGTAAATAGTGTAAATAACATAAGTATTTATAAGTACATATAAGTATAAAAAGATAAGTAGTGTTTCTCATTGACATACTCCTTCATACAGAAATGATGAGGTTCATGTGATACAAACTCTAAAGTTTTATTTCTTTCCCAAATGAATAACTCGCAAATTTTTGGTTTTGGCAAAACACTTGGCCTTCCCAGGAGTCAACCCCAATTAGAAAAATGAACATAGAAATGAAAAGAGAAAAGTGAAGAGAAGTGAGGCCCTTACCACTCTAACTCTGCTCTCTGCAGGCTCCGACACGGTAACCCATACCAAATGAAGCACCTGAACAGAGAGCCATAAACTTTTGCCTGGTAACAAATTTTGCTTTCTCTTCTCTTTCTCTCTCATACCAAATGAAGTTTCAAAAATCTTTTCTCTCTCTTTCATCTCTCTTTTTATCTTTCTCTCTCTTTTTCAGAAGATGGAAGAGACCATAAACAGTGATTTACACATTGCAAGGGAGGGAACCAATTGGTATGATAGGGGAGATAACAGAGAGTGCAGTTGGGAAAGATGGGTGGCGATGAAATGGTCTAGGTATTGGTTGCTCAGAAGTCTCTTCTTCTCTTTCTCTCTCATGTTTCATCACTCTTTTCTTTATCTGCTTCTTTTCTCTCTCTTTCTCGTTTCATCTCTCTTTTCTTGATCTGTGCCCATTTCATTTTTTTTATCTCTCTCTCTCTCTCATTTCATTTCATCTCTCTTTTTTTATTCTCTTTTTCTTTGAATCTTTTTCTCTCTTTCTCTCATATCTCTTTGCTTCTTTTCTCTCTCTCTCTTTCATTTCATCTCTCTTTTCTTTATCTACTCCTTTTTTTTCTCTCACTTTCTCTCTTCTTTCATCTCTCTTTTTTCATCTGCTCTTTTCCTGTGTTTCTTGTTCCATCTCTCTTTTTCTGCTCCCTTTATCTATCTGTTCATTTTTTTCTTTCTCTCTCTTTTCTTTATCTGCTTTTTTCATTTCTCTTTTCTTTATATGCTCCTTTTTTCATCTCCTTTTTTTTTTATCTTTCTCTCTCTCTCTTTTGCATTTCATCTCTTTTCTTTCTCTCTTTTCATCTCTCTCTGCTCTCTCTCTCTTGTTTCATCTCTCTTTTTTTTGTCTTTATCTCTCTTTTTCTTTATCTGCTTTTTCTTTTCTCTCATTCATCTTTTTTTTATCTCTCTCATTTCATCTCTTTTTTTTTTCTCTCTCATCTGCTGCTCTTTTCTCTCTCTCCTTGGTGCATCTCTCTTTTCTTTATATGCTCCTTTTCTTTCTCTCTCTCTTTTCATTTCTCCCTTTTTTCATCTGCTTTTTTCTCCATTTCATCTGCTCTTCTCTTTCTCTCTATTTCATCTCTCCTCTCTCTCTCCCTTGTTGCATTCTCTTTTCTTTATCTACTCCTTTCATTTCATCTCCCTTTTTCTCTCTCTTTATCTGCTCCTTTTATTTCTGCTCCCTTTTCTTTTCTCTCTCATTTCATCTCCCTTTTTATCTGCTCCTCTCTCTCTCCCTTGTTTGTCTCTCTTTTCTTTATCTGCTTCTTTTTTTTCTCTCTCTCTTTCATCTCCCTTTTTTTCTATCTCCCTCTCTCTCTCCCTTGTTGCATCTCATCTCTTTTTCTTTATCTGCTTTTTATCTTTTCTCTTTTGTTGCATCTCTCTTTTCTTTATCTGCTCCTTTTCTTTCTCTCTCATTTCATCTCCCTTTTTTTTATCTGCTCCTCTCTCTCTCCCTTGTTTCATCTCTCTTTTCTTTATATGCTTCTTTTCTTTCTCTCTCATTTCATCTCTCTTTTTTTATCTGCTCCTCTCTCTCTCCCTTGTTTCATCTCTCTTTTCTTTATCTGCTCCTTTTCTTTCTCTCTCATTTCATCTCCCTTTTTTTATCTGCTCCTCTCTCTCTCCCTTGTTTCATCTCTCTTTTCTTTATCTGCTCCTTTTCTTTCTCTCTCATTTCATCTCCTCTTTTCTTTTTTTTTTCTCTCCATTCATCTCTCTTCTGCTCTCTCTCTCTCTCTCTTGTTTCATCTCTCTTTTTTCTTTATCTCTCCCTTTTTTATCTGCTCTCTCTTTTTCTTCTCTCTCTCATTTCATCTCTCTTTTTTTCTCTCTCTTTCCTCTCTCTCTCATTTCATCTCTCTTTTTCTTTTTTTTTTTATCTGCTCCTCTCTTTCTTTCTTTCTCTCTCATTTCATCTCCCTTTTTTTATCTGCTCCTCTCTCTCTCTTTTTCATCTCTCTTTTTCTTTATCTGCTTTTTTCTTTCTCTCATTTCATTTCATCTCTTTTTTTTTATCTGCTCTTTTTCATCTCTCTCTCCTTGTTTCATCTCTCTTTTCTTTATCTGCTTCTCTTTCTTCTTTTCTCCCTTTTTTATCTCTCTCTCTCCCTTTTGCATCTCTTTTTTTATCTGCTCCTCTCTCTCTCCCTCTCTCTCTTTTTCTTTTTCTGCTTTCATCTCTCTCTTTTTTTTTTATCTTTATCTCTCTTTTTCTTTATCTGCTTCTTTTTCTTTCTCTCTCATTTCATCTCCCTTTTTTTTTATCTGCTCCTCTTTTCTTTCTCTCTCATTTCATCTCCCTTTTTTTTTTCTCATCTCTCTTCTTTTATCTTCTTCTCTTCTTTTCTTTCTCTCTCATTTCATCTCTCCTTTTTTCCCTTTTTTTTCTGCTCCTCTCTCTCTCCTTGTTTCTCTTTTCTTTATCTCTCTTTTTTCTCTTTATCTGCTTTTTTTCTGCTTTCTCTCTCATTTCATCTCTCTTTTTTTTATCTGCTCCTCTCTCTCTCTCTCTTTTTTATTTCATCTCTCTTTTTCTTTATCTGCTCCTTTTTCTTTCTCTTTTATCTACTCCTTTTTTTCTCTCTCACTTTCTCTCTCATTTTCATCTCCCTTTTTTTTATCTTTTCTCTTTTCTTTATCTCTCTCTTTTTCATCTCTCTTTTTTATCTGTGTTTCTTGTTTCATCATCTCTCTTTTTCTTTCTTTATCTCTTTTTTATCTGCTCTTTTTCCTTGTTGCTCTCTTTTTCTTTATCTCTCCTTTTCTTTCTCTCTCATTTCATCTCCCTTTTTATCTCATTTTGTTTTTCATCTCTCTTTTCTTTATCTGCTCCTTTTTCTTTCTCTCTCATTTCATCTCCTTTTTTTCTCTCTCTCTCATCTCTCTCTCTTTTCTCTTGTTTCATCTCTCTTTTTTTGTCTTTATCTCTGCTTTCTTTTTTATTCTTTCTCTTTTTATCTGCTTCTCTCTCATTTCATCATCTCTTTTTTTTCTCTCCCTTGTTGCATCTGCTCTCTTTTTTATCTGCTCTCTCTCTCCCCTTGGTGCATCTTTTTTATCTGCTCCTTTTCTTTATATGCTCCTTTTCTTTCTCTCATTTCATCTCCTTTTTTTTTTGCATCTGCTCCTCTCTCTCTCTCTCTTTTCTCTCTCTCCTTTTGTTTCATCTCTCTTTTCTTTATCTGCTCCTTTTTTCTTTCTCTCTCGTTTCATTTCTCTTTTTTTATCTGCTCCTCTCTCTCTCCCTTGTTGCATCTCTCTTTTCTTTATCTGCTCCTTTTCTTTCTCTCTCATTTCATCTCCCTTTTTTTATCTGCTCCTCTCTCTCTCCCTTGTTGCATCTCTCTTTTCTTTATCTGCTTCTTTTCTTTCTCTCATCTCCCTTTTTTATTTCATCTCTCTTTTTTTTATCTGCTCTTTTCTTTCTCTCTCATTTCATCTCCCTTTTTATCTGCTCCTCTCTCTCCTTGTTTCATCTCTCTTTTCTTTTATATGCTCTCTTTTTCATCTCTTTTTCTTTTTCTCTCTCATTTTTTATCTGCCCTTTTTTTATCTGCTCCTCTCTCTCTTTGTTTCATTTTTCTCTTTTTTTTATCTCTCTTTCTTTATCTGCTCCTTTTTTTTTCTCTCTCATTTCATCTCCTTTTTTATCTGCTCATCTCTCTCTCTCTCTTTTGTTTTTTCTTTATCTGCTTCCTTTCTTTCTCTCATCTCTCCCTTTTTTATCTTTTCTCTTTATCTGCTCCTTTCTCTTTTTCATCTCTTTTTTTATCTCTCTCATTTCTTTATCTCTCCCTCTCTCATTCATCTCTCTTTTTATTTTTCTCTCTCTCCTTGTCTCTCTTTTCTTTATCTGCTCCTTTTCTTTCTCTCTCATTTCATCTCCCTTTTTTTATCTGCTCATCTCTCTCCCTTTTTCTTTTTCTTTTTTCTCTCTTTTTATCTGCTTCTTTTCTTTCTCTCTCATTTCATCTCCCATTTTTTATCTGCTCCTCTCTCTCTCTCATTTCATCTCTCTTTTCTTTATCTGCTTCTTTTCTTTCTCTCTCTTTCATCTCATTTCATCTCCCTTTTTTTTTCTGCTTTTCTCTCTCTCTCATCTCTCTTTTCTTTATCTGCTCCTTTTCTTTCATCTCCTTTTTTATCTGCTCCTCTCTCTTTTTTTATCTGCTTTTCTTTTCTCTCTTTTTTTCTCATTTCATCTCTCTTTTTTTTCTCCCCTTTTCTTTATCTGCTCCTCTCTCTCTCTCATTTCATCTCTCTTTCTTTATCTGCTTCTTTTTCTTTATCTCTCTCATTTCATCTCCCTTTTTTTTATCTGCTCCTCTCTCTCTCTCATTTCATCTCTCTTTTCTTTATCTGCTTCTTTTCTTTCTCTCTCATTTCATCTCCCTTTTTTTATCTGCTCCTCTCTCTCTCCCTTGTTTCATCTCTCTTTTCTTTATCTGCTTCTTTTCTTTCTCTCTCATTTCATCTCTCTTTTTTTATCTGCTCCTCTCTCTCTCTCATTTCATCTCTCTTTTCTTTATCTGCTTCTTTTCTTTTCTTTTTCTCTCTCTTTTTTTATCATTTCATCTCCTTTTTTTTATCTGCTCCTCTCTCTCTCTCTTTTTCATCTCTCTTTTTTCTTTATCTGCTTCTTTTTCTTTTCTCTCTCATTTCATCTCCCTTTTTTTATCTGCTCCTCTCTCTCTCTCCTCTTTTTTTATCTCTCCTCTTTTCTTTATCTGCTTCTTTTCTTTCTCTCTCATTTCATCTCTCTTTTTTTATCTGCTCCTCTCTCTCTCTCATTTCATCTCTCTTTTCTTTATCTGCTTCTTTTCTTTCTCTCTCATTTCATCTCCCTTTTTTTATCTGCTCCTCTCTCTCTCCCTTGTTTCATCTCTCTTTTCTTTATCTGCTTCTTTTCTTTCTCTCTCATTTCATCTCTCTTTTTTTCTCTCTCTCTTTCCTCTCTCTCTCTCTCTCTCTTGTTTCATCTCTCCTTTTTTTTTTATCTGTCTGCTTTTCTTTTCTCTCTCATTTCATCTCCCTTTTTTTCTCTTCTTTATCCTCTCTCTCTCCCTCTGTCTCTCTTTTTTATCTCTCCTTTTTCTTTATCTCTCTTTTCTTTATCTGCTTCTCTCTCTTTTTTATCTGCTCCTCTCTCTCTCCCATTTTCTCATTTCATCTCTCTCCTTTTTTTTATCTGCTTTCTCTTTTTCTCTCTCTTCCTTGTTGCTCTTTTCTCTCTTTTTTTATCTGCTTCTTTCTTTCTCTCTCATTTCATCTCTCTTTTTTTATCTGCTCCTCTCTCTCTCCCTTGTTTCATCTCTCTTTTCTTTATATGCTTCTTTTCTTTCTCTCTCATTTCATCTCCCTTTTTTTATCTCTCTCTCTCTTGTTTCTCTCTTTATCTCTCCTTTTCTTTCTCTCTCATTTCATCTCTCTTTCTCTTTTCTTTATCTTTTTTCTCTCATTTCATCTGCTCCTTTTCTTTCTCTCTCATTTCATCTCCCTTTTTTTTTATCTCTGCTCTGCTTTCTCTCTCTTTTTTTATCTCTCCTCTCTCTCTCTCTTTTTATATGTTTTTTCATCTCTCTTTTTTATCTTTATCTGCTCCTTTTTTTCTTTCTCTCTCATTTCATCTCCCCTTTTTTATCTGCTCCTCTCTCTCTCTCGTCTCATCTCTCTTTTCTTTATCTGCTCCTTTTCTTTCCCTCTTTTCATTTCTTTTCTTTCTCTCTCACATCTCCTCTCTCCTCTCTCTCTCTCCTTTTTCATTTCATCTCTTTTTCTTTCTCTCTCATCTGCTCCTTTTCTTCCTCTCTCATTTCATCTCTCTTTTTTTATCTGCTCCTCTCTCTCTCTCTCTCTTGTTTCATCTCTCTTTTCTTTATCTGCTTCTTTTCCTTCCTATTCAAGCATTATGACTAGAAACATGATAAAGAGCAAGGCACTCTCTTTTCTTTATCTGGGAATCTGAGGTCATTGTTCACTCTCTCTCCCTTGTTTCAAATGGATTATCTGATATCTCCCTTTTTATTTTCTCTCTCTCCTTGTTGCATCTCTAATTATATCTCCGTGAATTGTGTTTTCCTCTCAAGTGCCACATTCATCTCCCTTTTTTATCTGCTCTCTCTCTCCTCCCCATTTGATACCAGAGTTATTCTGATGTACAACCCCTTGATTTTATTACTGATTCTTTCATTGTTTTAATACATAACATGATAGAGCCTACTGTTAAACAAAACTATAGAATAACAGAGCAATGAAAACAGTATATTTTGTGGTCAGCAAGAGACTCTAAAAGTAATAAAAATGCTGTCATATATATATATATATATATATATATATATAGCATTACTCAGAGTTTCATGCACAATGCAGTCTTCAGGTGGTGAGGATACTCAACACCTGAAGATTGTTTTATGCATGAAACTGAGTCATGCTTTTGTGTGGGATATGTATATTTATTAATATATACTTAATAAATCTGTTGTATTACATCGAGCACTGATTAATACCAGCACTATTTGTGCAATATATTATAATTATTATATATATATATATATATATATATATATATATATATATATATATATATATATAGGTATGATAAAAAACATACATATACACTCATATACGTGCATGTACATATATTTTTTTTTCACAGGTGTTATAAAAACTGTACTCAATGTTATATAACAGCTGATAAGTATATATTTAGCAAATATACATAATATCCCACATCAATAGCACGACTTGGAATTTGGAACTCCAAGTCTTGCTATCAATATGAGATATTATGTATATTCACTAATATATATATATATATATATATATATGTGTGTGTGTGTTGCCAGAGATTGGAAAAAAATCATCTGAAAATAAGCAGTCAAGTTTGTCACACCATAACACAACATATGAATGATTGGTCTTACATCTGTGATTACTACAGATTTGCTAGCACCCCAGTGTTTGAACCCAGGTGAAAGTCAAGATTTCAAATGCTGATTTTTAAGGCAGGTGTGTTCACCAATTTTGTAAGATTGCTTAAAGATAATCTTTCAATGCTACTCTCTCCTCTTCTGTACTCAATAAATTGCTTGATAATTTATATGTGTAATTTTGCAGTTCATGTGCTAAGATTGGTGTAACTTATCTTAAATTATCACATAATATTATTTTGGCTAAAAATTACAATTCTGGTGAGAAAGGCAAGGCTTTCAATCATAGGGCACTCTAAATAATATCACTATAAACGACTTTAGATAGTGTGTACCTGGTGTGATTTAATTGTTTTAGTATAAATTATACAATGATGCTTACTGTAGTCTAGAAGATAAACTAGCCAATAGGGTAAGAGACTCCAGATATGGTAATGGTACTATGAGCCATTTTCTTACAAGGAAACATTTGGCATTCATTGACTGAGCAGCCAGTAGCAATTTGGGTTGGAATTCATAAAATCTTTCTCTTAAAACAATTTTTCAGGAAAAAAGGGTTTCTCAAGTTTAGTACTTCTTATCGTGCTTTCCAGTATTGATCAGGGTTTCCTTCCTAACATTTTATTTGAAGAATATCAACATCTTCATTATGTCATTATTTTCTATTTGAGTTACATGTGAAATTCATTTTAGTTGTTGCTGCTGTTGAAAGTCCCCAGGTGATATGGTTTCTGTTATTTGATAAAGTTCCTTGTTTGTGATTCTGTAGTACCAGCCTATGAGGTTCAAAGAAGTATGATTTTTGTTAAGACATGAAATTGGATAGATGGAATTGTTTGTTGAGGGTTGTGTATAGCATGCAGTCACAAGCCATCACGACCAAGGTTTTGAATGTACTGAGCTTTGCTGATTATGCCAGATTATACATTCTTTCCAGAAACTGTAAATATATATGCATGCTTGATTAAAAATCAATGGAAGTTCATCATTGATTCCTAGTGTAATTTACATTTCAATGAGTTTTCACCTGGAACTTTTGGTTAGATTCTTTTACTTGGTCATATAGTTTGACTTGGGTGTACTTCAGCAGCAATTTTTCATTTATAATCACAATAGGAAAAAAAAAAAAAAAATGAATGATTGTAGGTTTTAATCACATATGTATAAATTTTAAAAAATGGTGCCTAAATACACCCAATATATGTATATATTGCATTGGAAAAAAACAACCATCTATAAATTAAAAAAAATTATAATTTAAGAGCCAACATCCTTAAATGTATGTATAAAACAAATAAAATGAAAAATAAAATAAACTCAAATATACCCAATATTCATATTGCCTCAAAGCAATACTCATACAACAAAAATAACCATCTAATTTTTAGATTATAATTTAAGAGACTGCATCCTCAAATAAAAAAAATAGTAAGTAAATAAGTAAAATAAACACATACGCACACACAGGCACACAACATCACACCTTGCCCAAGTCACTACATCTAACAGTTCTACAAAACAATATTTGTCTCTAGCTATCCTGAAAGAAAGTCAAAAGCTTGACCATATCACTTCCAAATGAACTTTGGACAATTTCTGATAGAATTTCCATTTTATGTGAGAAGCATTATCTGTAAATTGGAAAAGTCAATTTCTCTAAATTGTGAATCAAATCAAATATCAATACTTCTCTAAATTGTGAATTAAATTAAATATTAATTTTTTCTTTAAATTATCAATCAAATCAAATATTAATATTTTTCTAAATCATGAATCAAATCAAATATTAATATTTCTTTAAATCATCAATCAAATATTAATATTTCTCTAATTCATGAATCAAATCAAATATTAATATTTCTTTAAATTGTGAATCAAATATTAAATCATTCAAATCAAATATTTCTTTAAATTGTGAATCAAAAATATTAATATTTCTCTAAATCATGAATCAAATCAAATATTTCTCTAAATTGAATCAGATCAAATATTAATATTTCTTTAAATCATGAATCAAATATTAATATTTCTCTAAATCATGAATCAAATCAAATATTTCTCTAAATTGTGAATCAGATCAAATATTAATATTTCTTTAAATCATGAATCAAATATTAATATTTCTCTAAATCATGAATCAAATCAAATATTTCTCTAAATTGTGAATCAGATCAAACATTAATATTTCTTTAAATCATGAATCAAATATTAATATTTCTCTAAATCATGAATCAAATCAAATATTAATATTTCTCTAAATCATGAATCAAATCAAATATCAATATTTCTCTAAATTGTGAATCAAATCAAATATCAATATTTCTCTAAATCATGAATCAAATCAAATATTAATATTTCTCTAAATTGTGAATCAGACCAAATATTAATATTTCTTTAAATCATGAATCAAATATTAATATTTCTCTAAATCGTAAATCAAATTAAATATTAATATTTCTCTAAATCATGAATCAAAACAAATATTAATATTTCTCTAAATTGTAAAGCAAATCAAATATATATATATATAATATGTATACATGTGTGGATGGTGTAATGGATAGCATCTTGAAATGAGAAAAATTGAAGAGTCAAGTTCAAATTTAGTTCATTACATTCACTTATATACAAATACTTGCTTTGTATCTCTGTATCAATGGGTTAAATTTTAGGCCAGACAGGGCTCTTTATCCTTAGTTAGCAACCAGTCTAGAAGAAAGCTAACTCTGAATTTAAAACCTCAGAAGGGTCATTTAGTGACCTTGCAGCATACTACATGCACCAGTTCTCAGTTTTCGGTTCTTCCAAAAACTGTAGCTGGTTCAGCACAGGCTTTCACCATTATAGTCAAATCATCTGTGTTTGTTGTGTGGCTGTTCAGTTGTAGGAAAGTCCAACATAGATATATTTATATATATATATTTGTATATAATGAAATGAATATCGAATTTGTGCAAATTAGATGTTTAACATTGGTTATTCTGTTTTCAAAGTTATACCTTGTAAGAGCATTATTAGATCAACTGAAAAAATCTAAGGGAAAAAGGCTGCCGTGGTAACAATGTTTCCTAAGATTTTTTTCAAGTAACTTGATGCTCTTACAGACTGAAATATTGTCAAAGGATAAAAATTAGTTTCACAAGTCCTATTATATATATATATATATATATATATATATATATATATATATATATATGGGCTGAATATTGCATTCATACTCATGTATGAATGCAATATTCAGCCTATATCATAAACATAACAGACTCACACCAGTCAATGTTGACCTCAGTGTCCACTTTTATATTTATATATATATATATATATATATATATATATATATATATATATATATATATAATATAGTCTTAAGATGTGCTATATTTATGGGATAAAGTACTCAATATCAGAGATAGAGCGTGTGTAAATATAAAGTGAACATAGAAGTCCCAACACTTAGAGGACAGTCTGTTTCATGCTGCGATCCTCATGCCTGAGGATTGCATCTATCATGAAACAGACTGTCCTCTATGTTGACTTCTATGTTCACTTTTTTTTATATATATATATATATATATATATATATATATATATATATATATATGCACACACACATACACATTGTTGGTGTGTACTAGTCCTAAAAGCCCCAATTGAGGGATACCTAAGCTTGGTTTCTCTCACTCCCTCACTTTCACTCAGTTTTTATTTCTCTGTCTCTCTTCTATAGCCTGTGTATCATTCAGTTTTTTTTTTCCAAGCTACCTGTTTTTGTTTCAGTCTTATTTCTCCATCCTCCCCTCAGTGTTTCTTTCATTTCTCACACAGTCTTTTTTTCTCACTTTTCCCCTTTCCCCTTTCTTTTACAGTCTTTCTCTCTCTCTCTCTTCAAACTCTCTTTCTCTCCTCAGGCTTTCTTTCTTTCTTTCTCTCTCCCTCCCTCCTCCAATCTCTTTGTTTCACTTAGACTTTTCTCTCACTTTCTCTATTTCACTCATTCTTTATCTCCCTTCCCAGTTGTCATTTCTCATTTTCTTTTCCTCTACCTTTCTCTTCGTTTCAGTTTTTTTCTGTCACCTTTCCTCAGTTTTTCTTTCTCTGTTCCTCCTTTTCTTTCTCGGTTTTACTCAATTTCTCCTTCTCTCTCTCTCTCTCTCCTCAGTCTTTCTTTCTTTCTCCTTGACTGACTATTTTCTTTCTCTTTTTCTTTTATTCTTTGTTTCTCTCCTTTTCTGTTTCACTTAGTTTTTTTTTCTCTTTTTCTCTCGCACCTTTTATTATTCAGTCTTTCTATCTCTCTCTCTCTCTCCACTCAGCCTTTGTTTCTCTCTCCTCTCTCTTTGCATCACTCTTTATTCCTCACTTTTACTTTTTTTCTTCTCTCATCTCATTTCCTTCTTTGATTCTAATCAGTGTAACAGCCACAAAGGAAACGTTTTGGATAAGATCCACAAGCAGGAGACATACTAGAACATTTTCTGAAGCAAAGGGAAGAAGAAACTTCTTGGAATGAAAAGAATGACTCAGGATTTGGCAGAATCAGGGAAGCAGATAGGGGAGAGTTGCTTGGACAGTCTGTCTTTGCAGGGCTGTCAGAAAGATCAGAACCTTCTTTCTTTTCTATTTTCCTTGGCCCCTTTATATTTTCACTTTCAGTACAATAAGTTCATAGTTATGACACTGTTGGTCATGGTGAAAGGCTAACAATGTCAGGATTATTGATAATGATAGATTGGGTAGTGTCTGTGGAATTGGTCGTGGGGGAAAAGTTAGTGATCCTAGCTGAATTAATTATGGTCACATCGCTATTGGTTTGAATAGAGATAGAGGTACTAATGAGGAAGAAACAAGAAGTCTGAGAGGATGTGAAGTGAGAGTAATAGTGGCAGAAGAAGAAATAAAGGTGAAAATAGGGTGGGAGGAACAATATAATTATAATGAGTAATCAGAGAAAGGAAGGAATAGTTAAATCATAGAAATAACAAAGGTAGCAGGGTGAGGAGTGTTAGTAGCAGTGGAATTCATGGCCTTAGTTCTTAAAGGAAGAGCAGTAGTGTTAGTAAGAATAGTGAAATGTTATTTGTTCTAAGCATGATTAGAATTCTAAGATTGATTTGATCTTGCACATTTATAAATGTGATATTCGTCCGTGCATTGAATATTGTTGGTTTGGTGCTCCTGCTGTATATTTCAAGATTCTTGACAAAATTCAAAGAAGGGTCTGTACTGTAATCAATCCTTCCCTTTGTCTTTTCTATAAATATTTGCATAGCAATTGCTATGATAAACTTTCTTCCTTGTTATTTTATTTCTCACCCGACCCTACTGACAAATTGTACATATAGGAACTAGATAAGACTTCATAGAGACTTTTAGGTATTACTAGCAGTAGAGCCCGGCGTTGCCCGGGGATGTAACAGTAAAAGATAGATCAAGTATCGACCATCATAAAGACTGAAAAATAAAATTGACAAAGATTATTGTTTAAGGTTGATGGACACGCATGTCTTAATTATTTTTATTTTTTTATTTTTTTTTACGAATTGGTCAAACCCAAACTCAAACAAAAACATTGTTTTCAATTGTTATGAGTCTACCGATTGAATAGAATTTTATTATAAACAATTGTCTTGTAAATGAAATTTTTAAAGTATTCTGAATGTAAAATAAAGAAAAAAAAAATTAAGACAATAAGAAACGCTACCTGCCAAAAAAAAAGTGAAGTTTTGTTGAAATCGGTTGAAAAATGTAGAAAATCCAATCCCATATATAAACAAACACACACAACCTGGGTTTTATAATAAGTATAACTCGATATGAGTTGTCCCCCTTTCATTCTCGTGACGCCTCTTAATCGTGTTTTCAAATTGATTTCATGCAAAAACAATTGTGTTTTCCAATTTTTGGCACTGTTAGAACCAAGGCAAGGTAATTTTACGTAGTCCTGTGAAGTTTTGTTGAAATCGGTTGAAAAATGTAGGAAATCCGATCCAATATATAAACATACAGACACACACACACATACAATCTGCGTTTTATAATAAGTAACATGATGGCTGTAGTAAAAATTGGTAAGTAAGAATGTGTTGTTTTAATGTAAGGAATATTGTGGTATGTTTGGGTCAGTAATTGTGGTTAGCTAAGTTTAAGATAAGACAGATTGAAAACCAGTCTACTCCTATCCACCCCCTTTTGGCCTTGTGCCACATTTTCGTATTTTCAAAATAAATATGGCTTCCTTTCTTGGTGCCTCTTCATGAATTTAAGTGTTCTACAGATAGGCAACTAGGTCTCAACATTTTTACTGTTAAACTACCTAGATGCAACCGTATGTTCTATTCTAAGAGTTTCTTTTTTCACACTTCTTACCTGTGGAACTCTCTTTCGATTTCTTGCTTCCCTATCACCTACAATCTTCAAAGATTATAAACGTAATGCCAGCTGTTATTTTTCTATCTACCTGATACCCGTTCTTTTACTGTCCTTTCTCCTCACTTCTCCTAAATAAAGACTTCTTGTTCTCTTTCACCCCCAGTAACCCCTTGGATCCTAGTGGCATTATCACTTTGCTTGGGGTGAAATGATTTAAAAAAAAAAAAAAACTTGATGGAGCTCAAGTCATTACTGGAGACAATGACAAAGTATTTGGGAATTAACAAAGATATGCTGATACTTAGAAAAGATAGGGAAAGTCAATAAGTTGGATGTTTGGGTTTCACATGCACTTGACAGTTCTTTTATCCACGGCAATAAGTCTCCTTTGACAACAGAGTAATAACCTGTTCCTTAAATATATCATAAGAGGTGATGAAAAATGGCTTACAATAGCTTGACAAAAGGCAATGGATTGACAATGATAAATTTTCTCAGCCTACCTCAAAAGCTGTGATTCATGGAAGAAAGATAATGTTGTGTATGTGGTGGGAATATTAAGGTACTAGTTTTTTAGGATTCTTAAAAGGCAATGAAAAATTAAACACTTATATGTCCAGCATCTGCAACATGTGCATAAAATGTTTGTGGAAAAGGAAATGGGAAAACTTTTATTTTTCTCTTTGACAAAAAGATAGAGCATACAACAAAAATATTTTGGATCTCAGGTGTAAAATACATTTATTAGAAACCATGAACACACATGGAAGGTGTATCATAAAGTGTACAATTCAAAAGCAATCCTGTTGTCAACATTAAAATTCAACTGCACAAAATGTATAATAATAAAATAACAGCGTTAATTAAATATAGAGAATATAAAACCATATAAATGATGGCCATCCTTATTCACTGAATGGTCTGTTGTCAAGTCTTTCTCTCAAAATTACATCACATATAGGTTATATATTTTTATACCCATCTTTCTTAAATATATCTTTGATAATATAAATGTATTTGTTGAAATTTTTACTCAAATCCTTTTTTTTTAATCATTTCCCCCCAAGCAAGACAATAAAGCAACTAAGATGCAAGGGGTTACTGAAAATGAAAGAAACAGAGAGGGAAATAAAAGAACTGGCTGAAATCTGTATGTGGTGTAATTTTTAGATAAATACTTTATATATATATATATATATATATATAAAGTAATGCGAAAAACCTGTTTTTTGTGGTGTGTATTGTATACTTATTTTCTCCATTGTCATTTTTTTGTTTTTTCATCCCAAGCAAGGTGATAAGAGCCATTAAGATTCAAGGTAACCCAGAGAGAAAAAAACTGAGAAAATTTTATTGAGGAGAGAGAGAGGACAATAAAAGACTAAGATTCAAGGAGACTGTTGAAAAGTGATTAGAATTTTTAATTTTTAATGGTTGTCATTGACAGGAAAGCAAAAAATCAGAAGAGACTCCAAAAAACGAGACATGTGAGAGAAGAAACTATTAGCATAGAACTTACGGTTACACCAAGCAATTTCAACAGTAAAAAGATAAGATCTAACTATCAATCTCAAGCTGCATTTAAATTCATGGAAATATGAGTTTATTTAGGTTAATATAATTTTTATATAAGATTTCAGTTTTTATATGATTTTATATTGTGCCTTTATTTCCATTATACATAATATCATGGAACTAACAATACAGAATACAATTTTTCAATATTATGGTAAAAGTATTTGTGTTCAAAATCTTACTAATCCCACCATATTCTATATTTTAAAAACAAATTATCATTAACATCTTCTACTCTAAGTTTTCCTGAAACTGAGACATTCTCATTCCATGATCTTCCAAAGATGTCAGATCTAAGATGATGAATTTTTAAAGAGTAAGGAATAAACAGAACACAGGTGTTCCCTTCTCAAGTTGTCTTTCTACCAACTTCTAAAGACAATTTTTAGATGCAATATGACTAGTTAAAGGGTGTTCAAGTTAAAAGCATATATAAAATTATAGCAACTTTCTTTTCATATCCATAGAATCTGCATCCTCTGAACTATCAATATGTCTTTTAACATTAGTGACATGGCATTTCAGTTTATGTTGTGTCTCCAGATACTGGTGATAGTCATATTTTCATTTTAAGTCACTTACCAAATGTTGGAGAAATTCTGTGTATATTTCTATATAAAACAATGTCTGTGGTTTATTGTGCAAATTTGGGAAAATACATATGGCACTCGGCTTCTCTTAAATTTTACTTGAATGCTTTATAAATGTATAGTAGGTATAAAAAAAAATCTCATGGTAAAAATAGGTTTTTGAGGGAAAGAAAAACAGCGTATTTGTAGTTTATACAGAATCAATTGTTCCCACTATATGATAACATGGCTATAATTATAAAGTAAATGTAAATCATATTTATAGCATGTAATAATGCTTCCTTATTTGCCACAAAGCATCTAATTCTTAGAAGATAACACACGCACACACACACACATATATACATATACACACACATATATATATATATATATATATATATCATTTTAAAAATTTAAAAAGAATATTAAGCTCTCAAGAAAATCGCCATTGGTGAGACAGCTTCTGAGGTTAAAAAAAATTTTAGCAAATATTTTCTCAAAAAATATTAGCATTAAAAACTTTCATTTATACTTAACATACTCTTTCAGAAAATATTTTTAAAAATAAAAAAAAAAAATTGGTGGTCCCACATAACCCTATAGTGATTTTAGATTTAGTATCAGTATGTTAAAGATGCTGAGTTCAAATTCCAGCCAAACATAT